TTGTTAAATCAGCTTAACTGTAATGTGAACCAGACAGGCAACTAGCACCACAGGAGCAGAGAGCAGCCCTTTGTAACTGCACACTAATAGCATTTATCTGATTCTTGTGAATGATTAGCAACAGTTTTTATGTATGGGCCTTTAATTTCTGTTTTGAATGCAGACAAATTGAGCTACAAATGCATTTCTGGGCACAAAACACTTCTGTCATCTCACTCTGCAGGCAGAATAGCCCGAGTAGATAATACATGCACTAAAGCGCACTTTTGTACCGCTTTAGCTATAGCGGCTGCTACTGCTCTTCAGGAATAGCCCGAGTAGATCATACATGCACTAAAGCGCACTTTTGTACAGCTTTAGCTATAGCGGCTGCTACTGCTCTTCATGTCATTTTAATTTCAATATAAAATATGTTAAGAAAAAGATAAATGAGTTGTGAAATCTCTTCTGTCTTCATCAGCAGTTTTGGCTAATTAGGTTCAACACATACACAGTGCAATGACTTTGATTAATTTTACTCTGATACGAGTTCTAGTGAGGAGAAAAGATTTTCAACAGAAAAAGTGGGTATGTACCACGTAGCTGTGCTAAAATGATGAATACGGAAGTGTCGCTTACAGTTACGAGGACTGAAATACCTGTGAACGCTAGTTAAAGAAAAATAATTTCTACAATAAACTCTAAAGACAGACAAGAGCATAGCTCTCACCGTCACTGAAGTTCTGGAGCACAGTGCTACGTGTCACTGATTAATATTCCTCCCTCAGCCATTCAACAGCCTGCAAAGCAGCAAGCAATCAAGGTAAACATACCACAAGGTACAGTGAATGAGTCAGCACTAAAAAAGAAAATAGCATGTTGTTCTAAAAATGGCTTCAGCCCACTCCTGTCTTCCTAGAGCATTTAAGTACTAGCGTCATCCGTTACAGCACTGGCGCCGCTAAGCATGTGGGTAATAATGTCAGCTGTGTTCTCTACACAATAAAAGTACAAGAGTTAGTCTCTTACAAAAAGAAAAAGAAAAATATAAAAGCAGCAGTTTCAACAAGGCTTTTTGCTGGTTTAAGTTACGTCTACGTGGAGAAGGGCTTTGAGGACAAGCTAATGGATAAATAGGCGTGAAGCCCTCAGTTACGTTTTTCTAGGAACTCTTCTAGGGACAGGACAGATTCCCACAAA